TTGTTCTATAATTGTGCAAACATCTTTCCTTGTGAGGATTTTCTTGTAAGTTTGCAAAATTTGTATTGTGCTCTTTGGGAGAGAGTGTTCTCAAGAATTTGAGGTATAATTCTTAAGGGATTTGTAAGGTTACTCTTTGTCCTCAAAAGAAAGACAAATTAGTGAATTTGTGGAAAATCCTTAATGTGAATAGCTAAGGTAGTGGACATAGACTTTGGTTGAGAAAGTCGAACCACTCTAAGTCGTTGTGCAAATATTTTCAATTTTCTGCAAAAGCTTCCACCGAAATTTTTATTGCCAATTCACCCCCTCTTTGCCGATTACATCGATCGATTAACTCAACACATAAAATAAAGATGATGATTTTTTCCATATTTTGCCTTAATTATTTCCCAGTCAGACCGCTCATCCGGCGTTGTCAAGTATGGTTTCCCATTTTCTTCATAATTTTGGAGGTAGAGAGAAACATTGAAATCAAAATCTTCGGGTTGTACCTCAGAATGATTAGGCAATTGTAAATGTCTATTCTTCCATTGATGTATGAATATAGCATGCTTCCTCGGCCAATCTTCATTATGCTTCCCACGCGCATCTATTTTATGCAAATCGTCAATGTTATATATTGGTATTTCTATCTGTTGGTGAAACCCAAATTGTCACAAAACTCTATCGGCGACTGGATCTCAACAATTGCGAAATAGAGCAATGGTGTTATGGCACACCATGTCTCCACTCATTAAACTAACATTGGCGGTAGACACTGTTGGATATCTGACTCATAATAAGGCATCCAATTAAACTGTCAAAAGTATTATGTTAGTATAATTAAACAATTAATATTACAATTTCAAAGTTAATGCAAAAAATATTAAAATTTAATGTATGTTTACCGGTGATATCAATCCTCATTCGAATATCTACTTTGGTTGCACCCGATAACTTTGTATCGTTTATTCGGTGTCGCCATCTAAAAAATTACGTTATTTATTGTCATTTTCAAAATATTTAAATAAATTTTATAAAATATTGAAACTTTAAATATATGAATTTACCTTACGGCGAGAGGAAGCTCCATAGGAGCGGATGTAATAGGCGTTGTAAACGGGAGACGATACCACGCCCATGATTGGAGAAAAATTAAACAACTGAACAAATCATAGCAATGTTCAAACTCCAGTTACTAATGCATGTCTAGCTTAAAATGTATTCATTCACACATAAAATACACATAATACAACGTTTGCATTTAAAAATCACCTAAGTTAATAAGTCCCAAAAGGTGAAGCCGGTTGTGATTAGGATTTTGATTTTGATTGCGATTTTGATTTCCATTTGCTTGGCACCATATGAGCTTTGGATTTTGATGAGGATCCATATTTTGGTAGAGGAAAAGATGATTGTGATGACACTGGTGATCCACAAGTCAACCTTATATGACCACTCTCCTTGCACCGACTACATGTCGATATCCTCTTCTCTTCACCCTTAGACGGTATACGATCGTGATTTTTTGGTCAGCCAGGTAGCCTGCTGTTCATGGCTGGTGGCAAAACTGTTTGTAAGTCATTTGGTATGTCCCACTCAGAAGGATGTGGAATAGGGTAGACAATCTCAGCATAAGTCTGTCGATATACTTCTGTAGTGTAGCAATCCATAGCGTATGCGCTTGAATCATCTTGGTTTAGATGAAGAGCAACTTTTATAGCATGGTCACACGGATAACTAGATGTTTTCCATTTCATACAACTACACGTCTTTGCATTTAGATCGACAAGCACATTTAAGTTATTATCCAATACTTCAAACAAAGTGTTTCAACATGGTTCAACTCTCCATGACGTTGACTTCACAACACGTTTCGTTATCTTTTTTTTTCAGTCCATGGTGTAACACGCCGTTCCAATGTTCATGTAAATTTAAATAAATAATATTTAGTAAAATATATAAAAATATTTAGTAAAATATATAAATATGATAAGTTGCAAATTTAAAGAAATAATACCTGCATGGTTTCTTTTCTTGTAGTACCACTGTTGAATAGAGGCTCGAAAAAACTCCATTAACATAGTAATGGGTAATTTTCGGGAATGAAGACTTAGAGCGTTGATTGATTCTGCACTATTAGACGTCGTGAAATCATATCTTGCTCCAAGTTGATGTACTCTTGACCATCTTTCAAACCTGACATATTCTAGTGTTTGAGCACATTGAGGCAAAACACGTCTTAAACAATTTATATGCTTATTAAAATCCACTTCCCGATATACTTTTACAACCTTCCAGTATGTCCATTTGTGATTTTTTATACCAGCAGACCTTGATTTTAGATTTCTATACAAATGAACACCACAAAGTCCATGAAAAGCATATGGGAAACACGTTTTAACAGCATTGTCAATTGAGTTTTCCATATCGGATATGATTGTCAGATTGCTAATAGGACCTATGCAATCCCTAAGATGCCCCATAAACCATGTCCATGAATCAGAGGTTTCAGATTTGCCAACCCCGTAAGCTATTGGTAGTATCTCATTGTTAGCATCCATGGCTACTGCTAATAAGTTTACTCCAAGGTATCGACCTTTCAAATGTGCTCCGTCAACTATAATAATTGGTCGCATGCAAGTAATAAATGAACAAATCTACAAAATAATATACGCAAGAAATATAATCATTTAAATGTGAAATACATGTAACTAACAAAAATGAGTCAACAAAATTATATTGATTTACTAACCGCAACACCAATGGCGATAAACAACAACTCAAAGCGTTCATCTCTATCTGTTTTGATATGAGTTATCGACCCAGGATTTTTCAGCTTTAAATTGTGACAATAAGCCGGTAGTTAGGCAAACGATGCTTCTGGAGACCCCCTCAACAATTCCAAGGCATAACATTTGGCTCTCCAAGCTTGAGAATATGAGATACTAATCTTGAACCGCGCATTCATGTCAGTCATAATTTCATATCCCCGATATACCCTGCCATTCAAAAACATTAACTCAACCAGAAAACCACTCAACACCTTTTTGTTTGCCTGTCTATGGTGAGGAAAAACTTGGGTTCTTGAACATGTATATTTATCAATAAAAGTCCTAACTTGAAACATTTTGTAATCTTTTATCCTCTTTGCAATCATACGTCACGTACAGTTTTTGTCAATCATACACTTTGTTTCGAAATGATCTTTGCTTGATTTGTTAACTTTTAGTTGATAGCCATCTTCCACACATTTCGTATACAAAGCTATCTTCAAGTCTTTCTTTGTATCAAAACAATCATCTTTCTTGATACGAATAACTTTTGTGTAACAATCAACTGCTATCTTTACCAACTCTTCTTCCGGTATCTGAAGTAATTCTGGCATATTTCAGTTATACTCCCGTGGCATTTTCTTTTTTTTTTCTTTTCTTCGGGGACTTTTTCTTCTTCTTTTTCTTCTTCAGGGTTATATGAATTACATAATAGATGTTCAACATGTTCATTCACAATCGTAACTTTGTCCTCATTATTATCAACAACATCTTCCTCGGTAGCGGTTGTTTCATCATCAAAATTCGGGTATTAACCAATATCAAAATCATTACACGCATGGTCTGTTTCTTCTTCTGAAACAACATCAAAATCCGAGTATTGACCAAGATCAAAGTCCGGGTATTGACCAAGATCAAATTTTGAATACTGACTAGTACTCACAATTTTTTCTGTTGGCTCATAACCGTCTAACTGGTCAATACGAAAACCAAAATTTGGTGCTAAAAGTTGATTGGGATTTGGATTAGGAAAAGGTTGTGGGTTTTGAGATTGTGTTTGGTATTGGAAATGTGGTGAAACAAAATTTTCTTGGTAATGAAATTGTGGTGGAACCATTAAATTTTGAGGTTGATAACAACGTTGTACATTGTAAGCACCATAAACTGGGGTTGAAAAACTTAGTTGATTACTACCCGCCACTGACCCAACTTCACTACTTTTAGGTTCAACAACATACAATGTAACATCATCTTCTTGCGAAACACTAATGTAAGCAATGAATCGTTAAACATCTTCATTGTCGGTTAACAAATAAACTTTACATTTTCTCTGATAAGATAGCCTAAATCCACTTAGAGGCTCTAATTCAATTTCTTTGCAACACGTAACATTAGAGTTTCATAAGTTAACTTTTTTAATGACAGTTTTAGTTGAAGATTCATGGGTAAAGGCATATATTGTAAAACACCATGAACATTTTCCCATGACCCTCCAAAACACAAATATATCCAAACATGATCAACATTAGATGATTTCATTCTACAAATTGTAAATTAATTTACTAAACAAACGAGCTATAAACTACATGTCATCACTAACTTAGAGAAAGACATACCTTTATTAAGTTGATAGTTGATAATTTGGGAGAGAAATCATTGAAAAATTATATAGAAATAAAATTATGTAAAAAAATAGAGATGGGGAAGGATGTTGTTGGATATAGGAACGAATGTCAACGGAGAGAGTGATAAATGAAGATGGAATGAGTTGCGATTTAGGGATTTAGGTTATGAGTTGTTGCTGCTGTGTAGTTATATACTAAAAACATTTGTGTTGCGAAAATAAAACCTGTTGCAAAATTAAAATTCGTGTTGCGAATTCGAAAATCGAGTTGCGAATTCAGAAATCGAGTTGCGAATTTAAAATTTAGTGTTGCGAATTTAGAAATCGCGTTGCGAATTTGAAAACTGTGTTGCGAAATTGAAGTTCGCGTTGCGAATTTGTTAGTCATTTTCGCAAATCCAAAAAAAGTTAGTTAAAATCGTATATTATAAGGCATTTTTGGTCACTAAAATTATTTTCTCTTTTAAAAAAATTAAAATTTTAAATAATAAAATAGACTAATAATTTAGGTATTAAATACATAGTTTACCCCAAAAAGAAATTACCTAAATTGCTCTGTGTGCGCTCCTCTTTAATTTAGGTTGTAGGAATGATACATGTTACAGCCTCATTTACTATTTTCTGGAGATACCTACAGAAATTAAAATTTTAGGGTTATTGTTTTCTTAGTCATTGAACGTTACTCTCCAAAAGAGAAACTCTCTTGTCTTTTAATTTTGGATAATTTACTGAAATTTATTATTTTGTTGCCGTTTCAATTCATTACAATGGGAAAGAAGAGAAGTTCACCTCTCGATAATCTTGACCTTCCTTATTCGGGTATGTTCTCTTTCCCTATTTATAATTGCTTCAACAAAACAAGTTTTTTTTTTCATGTGAAAGAATTCATAATTAAAAATTATTGGCCGATTTTGTAAGAATTGAGTGCTATGATTATTGAGAAAAGAATTAAAATCACCCATTTTCATTTTAGTTTCGTTAATTTGTTTTCTGTTCAATAAATGGAAATGGGGTTTTCAGGTTTGTTACATTTTAAAAAAAAGAAACTCTCTTTATTTAATCTGGGTCACTTTGTTCACAAGTGGAGTACTTAAAACTCCATTCTTGGATGGCAAACTGAATCTACTGTTAAATGGATTATTTTATAAAATTCTGGGTTTTCAGCTTAGTTTTGTTTGTTTGCCATTTTGTTTCATGACCGTACCATATCGCACTTCGATCATATCGGGCTGCTTACCATTATGAACCTAAGACCGTTGAATGTAGCAAATTATTGTGCTTGAACATCCTCAAAGGTTCACCAAATTCGAATCATTGCCCAGTGAGCCTTGATTTGATTTTTCTTCAACCTTTTAGGCCTTGAAGTGTACCATTTGTTGGCATCACTCTTCTGCAATCTGCTACAGTCTTTTCTGCATTTATCCTTTTTTTTTTTGAACTGATTTCTGTTACCTTGATGTGGTTATATGCTTTGTACACAAACTTAGGTGCGAGTGTTAGGTAAGGGCATGCATCCGACACGAGTGTGTTCAATCTTTTCTAAATTTTCCATATATTTGAAAGGAACTTAAAGGATCGAGAATGTATCGGATATATTGAAGAAAATTGAAAAGTCACAGGAACATTGCCTATATTTGGCCTATCTTCAGCTTAATAATCTAAAATAGCCAAGTGTTCTCCCTTATTTAAATGTAAACAATCAGAGTGTGAATAATCATTGTACCATTTATTGCATATTGCAGAGGACAAGCCGTGCTCGTCGGGGACACCATTATTACCCAAGGAGGTTTTGCATTTTTCCTCGTTCGTTTATGAAAAACCATTCTTTCTCCGGGTTGTTTTTCGTTGTTTTTAATTTATAGTTCTGTGATATCTTTTTTATGCTTTTGAACCTCCATCTATTTGTCAACTAAATAGTCTACATTTCTTCATTGATTCCCCCCTCCTTTCTCGCTTTCTTTCATAGCATTTGATGAATTTGGATGCTGGCATTGATGTTGGAGATAGTTCTGTGAGGCTACTTAATTCCAACCCTTCTGTTGCTCATCACCGTTACTATCTTGGGCGTTCGATATTTTTAAAAAGATCACGCCATTACTATGGTCATCACTACTTGCGCAGAAATTCAAGCAGTCTTTCAAATCCATCAACTTCACGTGGCTCTGTTAGTCCTTTACATGATGAGAGATTATCTTTCAAGTTTGCTCAATACAAACCCGAGTCTGTACACTGTGCAGGTTGTATGTATCTTTGTTTCACCTCTACAATATTAACATGCATATTAACATCAGGAAAGTCATTTTTATCTCATCTAGATCAATACATCAGGGAACTCTTAGCAGATTTTAGGAACTCATGTTTATTCATAAAATTAAAGAATTGGATTATTTAAGCTTAAAACTGAGTTTTGCTCGTTTTTCTTTTTCGTTCTCAGCCATTGACTTCAGTTTACGAAATTTTGCAGATGGGAGGGAAAAAGCATTTGGCTTTGGCAGGCCAGAAAGAATTAGGTCTAGTACATTGGTGATGGATTCCGTATCACCGGAAAAGGTGAAGGCAGTTTGCGGTGTATGTCAAAAGCATTTAATACGGAAACCTTATTTTCTGGGAAATATGCCAGCTTCCGGAGAATTTTCTGCCGTGGCAGTTCTTGTTTGTGGCCATGTATACCATCCAGATTGTTTGGAAGGAAGAACAAACTTCGAGGACAGGCATGACCCGCAGTGTCCGTTATGTTCAGCTTAAGTTTACAGATTAGGATCTTTAAACCATGCGCAATTGTATTGCTAATGTTACAGCCAGTTGGCAGCTATTAGAGCTTGAAAATGCTCATCCTTTACCCTATTTACTTGGTAAGCATGGAGCAGTGGTATAGATTTTCTTTAGAGGCCATTGGCTTCAAGTATATTTTATTTTTTTTGGGCAGAATCTTTGCAACCGTTCGGATGGTATCTTAAACCCCGAATTAATCAAACCGATCGAATGAACGTGGTTAACTAAAGAATATGGGTGCATATTTAGAGCTAAGTTAATCAGAAGCTGAATTTGTTTCATCAATGATCGCATAGTGTAGTGGATTAGCGCGTTTGACTTTGGATCAAAAGGTCGTGGGTTTGCCTCCCACTGAGGTTGGCTTAATAGGTGAACTATGCATTTAGTAATTAGCAACTAAATTATAGTTTAAATTTTTATTTTGTTTTAATACTGTCGTTAAAAACTTAACTAGTTCAGGTACTAAATATATAATTTGTCCTTTTTTGAAAAAAAATTGAGAATAAACTCAAACCATTACGTATAGAAGATGTTGAAGATCTTAAAACCCCACAGACCAAATGATCAAACAAGGAAAATACCTCAAGTTTTTAACCAATAATAATTCTCTTGACACCTGATTCGTGATTAATTTCCACCTTATATTGATTACCTTTTCTTAGAATTTTCCCCTTATTAATACTTCCACGTTTTGCCAACTTACGAACCACCGCCATAAAAACCTTCAGCTGCCACCGGATTTTCCTTGTTAAAAAAAACTGCCATTGACCGCCCCGTTTTCTGGTGGCGGCAAAAGGCTAGTTTTGACAGTTTAATGTCCTACTTTCTTCTTATCTTTCACATTGCAACCATGGCGACGATGATGAATGTATCTTCATCGTCCAACAAGGTTGCTTCGATAACAGAGAAAGTATGGCAGAATTTTTACTGGAATTCTTCGATCGGCAGCAGAAGCTACCTGAGGCGGTGTTCTTACGAGAACGACGGGTTCGGGACCGTTCCATTGATGCAAATGGGTGCTGAAAGATCCAAGAACGTATTTATTCTCATGAGTGACACCGGCAGTGGCCATCGAGCTTCAGCAGAGGCCATCAGGGACGCTTTTCGCATTGAATTTGACGATGAATACCGAGTAATTTCCTTGTCTGCAAATTGTTTTTTTCTTGGGTCCAGATATTTGTGAAAGATGTATGGAAAGAATACACAGGGTTGCCATTGAATGACATGGAGAGGTCCTACAAGTTCATGGTGAAACATGTACAGCTCTAAAGTTGCCTTCCACAGTATCTCTCCTAGATGAGTACATAGCTCCTATCTTGCTGCCATTGCTGCTTATTATGCCAAGTAAACACTTCCATCTATTAACTTGATTGAAAGAATCCATGTTAGGTCAATATTGCTGACTCCTATTTTGTGAAATTGAAGGGAGGTTACAGGCTGGCCTAATGGAGTACAAGCCAGACATTATCATTAGCGTTCATCCATTAATGCAACACATTCCTCTATGGGTTCTAAAATGGCAAGGCCTTCAAAAGAAAGTAGTTTTTGTCACTGTAATCACAGACCTAAACTCCTGCCACCCCAAATGGTAATTTTGACAAACAAAGACCTTTCCGAGTTCTTTCATGGTAAAACCGTCTCAATATGTTTAAACAAATTGGAATCACTGGTTCAGGTCTCATCCTGGGGTTGATAGATGTTACTGCCCTTCAAAGGAGGTAGCCAAGAGAGCACTATGTGATGGGCTTGAAGAGTCGGAGGTTCAGGTTTTCGGTCTCCCGATTCGGCCTTCTTTCGCACTGGCGGTTCTTTCCAAGGTGAGTGATCCTAGAAGGCATAAAATACATGAATCTGATTGTTTTGATTTGATGGGATTTTCTGGTTTTTGTAGGATGACTTGAGAAAGGAGCTCGAGATGGATCCAGATTTGCCCGCGATGCTGCTAATGAGAGGGGGTGAAGGAATGGGACCTGTTAAGGAAACAGCAGAAGCTCTTGGCAAATCATTGTATGATAGTGTTCAAAATAAACCGATTGGACAATTAATCATCATATGTGGCCGAAACAAAGCCCTTGCCTCTACATTGGAATCAGAGGAATGAAAGATCCTGGTGAAGGTAATTCTGTCTTATGATTCGACTTACTCGTGCCGGATACATACCCTCGTCTCTGAGTAACATAAAATTGTCTTCTTTGACACTATAGGTAAGAGGTTTTGAGACTCAGATGGAGAAATGGATGGGAGCTTGTGATTGCATAATTACAAAAGTAAGTTCATGAAATTTCAATTTAAACTCCACCTACATACATGGATTGATCTTATCTTCTTGAATTACAGGCAGGTCCAGGCACCATTGCAGAGGCTTTGATCAGGGGGCTTCCTATTGTTCTCAACGACTACATTCCAGGACAGGTTCAATGACAACTTTTCCCTGCATGACTGCATTCTTTTCGAGTTGGCTTCAATTGCATATTGTTTTGTTGGTTGCAGGAAAAGGGAAATGTACCATATGTCGTCGACAATGCAGCCGGGGTTTTCACCCGAAGTCCGAAGGCAACGGCTAGAATCATGGCCAGATGGTTCAGCACAAGATCAAATGAGCTGAAGAGTACGTCAGAGAATACTCTAAAACTAGCACAACCGGAGGCGGTGTTCGATATCGTAAAGGATATCCATCAACTTGCCTTACAAAGAAGGCCTCTTGCCAAAATTCCTTATGTCTTGACATCATCATTCACAAACCTTGCGTAACATATATATTCATCACATCTAAACATCTTCCAAATGTAACCAAGATATGTTCCTCCACTAAACTATGTAAAGCTAAGCATTTTTGTATAGGGTCATTCTTTGTCCTCAGATGTTTTGAAAGTCTGGGCGTTGGTTAGATTAATGTAAGTTGTGATGTTGTAATTAGGGGTGTTTAATGAGTTAAGCAGCTCGTGAGCGGCTCGAACTCGACTTGGTCAAAACTCGATAAAATATCTACTCGGGATGACTCGATTCAAACACGAGTTCGAATCGAGACCTTAACGAGTTGATTCGAGCAAAATCCAACTCGGCTCGATAAGTTCGCGAGCAATTAGTTAAATTTTTTATATAAATTTTTCAATAGTTATCTTAAAAAATTATTTCATTAAAAAAATACTAATTTACTAATAGATAATAGAAAAGATGATAAATTACTAATCTATTAATTTTATAATAAACAATAAAAAATACTAAATTATTAATTAGTATTTTACTGCACTAAAAAATCAAACCATATTTATTATTTTAATATATTTGCGGATTGTTACTTTGGACTTTGGAGTTTATACTTTAAAATTGTTTCATACACTCATTTTATAATATTTTTGGTTAAATTTATTGATATGTTTATATTAAGCTCTGTATAGTATTATAAGATTTTTCCTATAATTAAGAAAATAAAGTAAAAATTTCGGTGAGTTTAACGAGCAATGAGTCGAGAAACAGGTTTTTTTAACTAGCACAAGTCGAGCAAAAATTTAACGAGCTTAACGAGCAATGAGTCGAGCAACAAATTTTTTTAACTAGCACGAGTCGAGTACTGTCCAACTCGCGATCGACTCACTCGATAAGCACTCCTAGTTGTAATGTTACAAGTTTTTGGTCCTACTTAAAATTGGCATTTTCTGTTAAAAGTTTTGGTCTATCTTTTAAAGTCCGGTAAACTTAGGGATAGGCATAAGTTGGATTTTTAGTCCACCCAACTTAACCCGAAAATTATACATCCTCTACCAATTTGAACCTGGTCCAAAAAATTTACACATTCCATCCCACCCAAACTTGACCTATCTTTCTTAAATAAAATTCAAACTCGACCTGACATGAAATAACATATTTATTAAAAAAATATTACTTTTATTCAATAAAAATAGAGATTTAATTGAAAAAATATACATATGAGTATTATAACAATTATCCCTAAATATATATGGTAGAACTAAAAAAATTTCGAATCAATTATTTTTCATGCTAATCTGAACTCAAACATAACCTCTAAAAAAGCTCAATCTAACCCTAAACTATTTTTAAAAAAATATTTAATCCGATCAGGTCGAAACTCATTGGGATTAGGTCAATGACGGAGCCAGAAATTTTAAATTATGGTGTCATAATTTAAAACTACATTAATTTAAATTTAAAATGTCTAAATAGAGCTATACAAATGTATGCATAATATTAATTCTCAATATATTAATGTATAATATGACTAAAATAAAGGTGTAATTGAACATAAAATTTGATGAATTGTTCATGAAGCGTTCATATAATATTTGTTTATGTTAATTTGTTAAATAAAAATAATTTATGTTTATTTAATAAACGAACGAACACGAATAAATATATGTTTAGTTCGTTTGTGTTTACAAACAAATTTATTTATCATTTCTTTATAAGTTTGTTTATTCATTTCTGTATTTATTAATGATATTTTCTTATAAAAAAATTAGTTTAATATTTTATTATATTTTTATTTGTATTTCAATTAATTAATATAAATATATATACTTACTCCAGTCTAAGTATATATTTACTTCAAGGTACTAAAATATTGGGAGAAATACATGGTTATTTTAGTGTAAGTATGTGTTTATTTCTAGGTATCAGATTTACACCGGCATAATTATATATATCTACCATTATCATGACATCTATAAATAAACATTCTTACACCGATTAATTTTAGAAATACAAGGAAAACTAATTTTAGAAAGGGGGTAAATTTTAAATATTTTTACTACTATTTTTTCATTAACAAAATTCAATTAATTTTTTAAAATATTTTAATTGAAATGAACTTTGAATTAAATTGAGCAAATTATATTAATTTAGATTAAATTAAAATAATGTAAATAAGTTAAAATAAAACCTTGTTAGCAACTTGAGTAAATCTAATGATCTTTCACTCTCATTCAATCAATCTCAGCCGTCGACCCTCCTCTTCCAGATCCATGGCTCTTATTGTCCTTCATATGTAGGGTTTCCATTTCCATCACGACCTCCCATTTCCCGCCACCAAAATGTCTTCCAAGATCAACGGCCGGCTTTCGCCTCAGCC